GTCCCCGCCGCAGTGCGGCGGACTCACATAAGTCTCTGGCCGCCGTGGTGTAAACAGCCAAATGCGGGGAGAGGGAGAGGCTTTATTTTTGTTTTTGTATGGCGGTAAAAAGTGGGAAGATTGAAGTTTTTATTTTGCCGATGAGAATAGAAAAAGAAGATGACAGCAAGAAACCAAACAGCTAAGAAAAATGAAGTAAACCTTTTTTAAATCATCTACAAGTTCCAAATCCACGGAAAGTTGCTGTTGATGCGGAAGAAGGGCATTAGGAAGGGATACGTCGGCGGCTTCGATTTTGGCTTGCTTGTAGCAGGAGAAGGGGCTTTCATCGTGGTCGTCGTAGTGGTCGTGGAGATCATCGAAGTGGCCATCGTCGAAGTGGTAACGGGCGAAGAAGTACTGGTGACCACCGGTTCTGATTCAGCTGTCCTCGGAGCAACTTCAGTGGTCGAAGTGGTAGAACTCTCCATCGTCTCCTTCTTCAGCCGCAGGCTGTTCCACTTCTTCTTGAGGGCGCCGCCCACCTTGTCCACTTTTTCCGCTGTCTTCAGCTTCAGCCCTTGAAGAGTCTCTGCACTGGGCACCGCCTCCACTACGGTTGCTGCTGCGCCGACGACCGCCGCCTTCGCCTTGGCGGCGACATTGGCCGCCGCCGTGGCGGCATCGCCCACCACCATGGCCATCTTCAGCGCCGACCGGTACCGGTGGAGGAGGTACCCGGAGCCGGCGACCAGCGTCAGCAGCAGCAGGACGGCAGTGAGAAGACATAGCCAGCTGACGACGGGACTGGTGGGGAACTTGCGCCACCGAAGACGGTAGCCCCGCTTCAGGACGCTTCGGACGCCGCCATTCTCCGCTTCGGCGAACTCCAGCCGGGCGATCTTGTTCAGCTTTAACATTGTGGTGGTGGTAGTGATAGTGATGGTAAGTGTGTTTTCCAGCCAGTGTGTCCTTGCTCTGCACATTTTCCACTGTCTTTTATAGCCGAAGACGAAGAGGAAAACGACGACGACGACGATGATTCAACGACGCTGCTGCAGTGCGCGATAGTGCTACACAGCTAAGGCGATGGTCAATCGAAATCGAAACAACACAGCGCAGTGCCTAAGCCCTAGGGGTCCTAGTGGCGATAGTTTCCCTCTCTCCTTCTCCCTCTCGACTTTATCGCCAATCAGTGACTCACTGAATGCCGCACTGAGAAAGAGAAGGAGAAAAATTGGCAATCAACTTCGATAGCATTTCAGACGATTTATTATTTACTTTGTCACTAGCATCAGCAGAAGATAAAGAAGAGGAGGAAGAGGAGGAGATTTCCCTAGAAAACTACTGGTGGTGATAATGGGACCGCTACTCCCGCACCCGGTGGACATTCTTCTCCAGCCACGCCTCCTCGGCGTCGTCCAGCGGCAGCCAGCAGTGGACATTGCTGCCGAGGGCGTTCACCTGAAGACGAGAGGCGGCGGCGGCGGCCAATCGATTCCATTGCTGCTGGTGCTGCCGTTTTGGAGGGCGGTGATAATCAGCACTGTCATCGTAGGAGTTGTCTTCCACTCCTACCTCTTCCTCCTCATCAGCCTTCACCTGGACGCTCATCCGCAGCAGTGTCATCGGCGAGTTGCCGGTGGTGGGCGTCAGCTGACAGCTGACGATCATCTCGCGGTCACCACCACTTCCGCCGCCATTGGGCATCGACAGTTTGTACTGCACCGAGGAGTAGGTGGACACCGGGCGGGAGCGACCGAGCATGAGCAGAGGCTGAGAAAAAGGCACAAAAAGTACGGTGACCAGGAAGGGGAGCACCGAAATCAGAAGATGATGAGCTGAAGACATCTGGTCGAACTTTTTTTTGTCGGCAGAAAACATCACCGAATAATAGCCTGAACAGCAATTGCCGCAATCCCTTTATAAAGGACTACATCTCAAGGTTATCCTCACCACCACAACTGAACGACCAACAGGTTAACCAGTGCAGCCAGCATCCAATCCAATCCAATCCCTTCTGATGACCCAATTTACCAGCACAGTGCCACCACCATCAATTGGAGCGATCATTCTATTTGATCATCTGCGTGTCGTGATCAACTAATCCTCGTAGTTACCGGGAGTTCAAGCAGAACTAGCTGTGACAGCTATTAATATTTAAAAATAGCTCAAATTGGAAAAAACCGAACAAAACAGCAACAAACACAAAGAAGGAACAAAAAGTTCTCGTCATCACTTTTACTTACCACTTGTCAGGTCAACAACAGAAAAGGGCTCAGCAAAACACTCACCAAACCAGGGCAAAAGATGATGATGATGATGACCTCCATTCCTCCTCCTCCTCCTCTTTGCCTGATGATTTACCTGCTGGCCGCTGTTCTCCTTTCTCCTGGAAACAACCGCCTCACCACCAGTGCCGCCTCATCAGTGCTTCGAGGCAGCAATCTGCCGTACCGCCCGCCAATTTACAACAGTCTGAAGAAGTCTTCTGAAGAAGAAGAACTTCAAGTTAAGCATCATCATCATCAACTGCCCAGCTCCTCCTCCTCCTCCTCACTAGTCGTCAACGATGAAATGAAACTCCCACCACCACCACCACCTGAACCACAGAAAACGCCCATCCTGAAGGCGCACCACGACTCCAGCGGCTCCGGCGGCGGCGGCGGCTTCAGCTGGCGCGTGGCGGCCGTCGTCCTCGGCGTCGTCTCCCTCCTGCTCGTCCTCCTCCTGGTGGCCACCGTCTGGAGCCGCCGGGAGGACCANCAGCTGGCGCGTGGCGGCCGTCGTCCTCGGCGTCGTCTCCCTCCTGCTCGTCCTCCTCCTGGTGGCCACCGTCTGGAGCCGCCGGGAGGACCAGGCCGCCGCGGAGGTGGTGCTGAAGCGGGCCCAGTCGGCGGTCAACATCAGCGACCCGACGGCGAGCTTCTCGGCGCTGCCCGCCCGCAGCTGCCGCTCGCTGGTGCCCTCCCGTCGGGGCCGTCAGGGTCTCGGCCAAAAGCGGAACGCCTCCTTCAGCTCCATTCAGTCCTCGTCGCGAACCGGCTCCGCCCTGAGCGTCGGATCACTGTCGCCCGCAAAGGGAGGAAAGGGAGGACCTGGCGCGGCGGTTTAGATAGCTTTAGCACCTCTTTTTCCCTGACTCACAATTTCGTTGGATTAATTTATTACTACTGCTGTTGTGGTGGTGGTGGTGGTGGTGGTTGTGGTTGTTATTAGTGTTGTTGCTTGTGTTATTATTACACTACACTTCATTCTTCTTATCATTATAATTATAAGTATCCTTGGCAGGCGCCGCTTGCGAAGCCTATCAATGTAAATGTGTGTGTGTGAGAAGGAGTGAGAATGAGATGAAACAACTGAGATAACATTTGTACAGGCAAAGAAGAAGAGGAGGAGAGAGAAGGCAGAGAAAAAAGGTGCCCAGGGTGGCCGGAGGGGCCGCCGCCGGTTACACACACACAGCTGTGACACAAAGCCGATCCGACGAGGAAAGAGAAAGAGAGAGATCTGATCCAGAGAATTAAGAGGGAAAAAGAATTTGCGTGATGAGGGCGTTGCAGAGGCGGAGAAACCGACCGACGACCGAGAGTGAAACAACCGACAGAGGAAGAAATGTACGTGAAGAAGAA